CTATGTGCTACAGATTTATTCAGTTTTTCAGACTTGGAGTTTTTTTTTATTTATTTTTACCATTAAATTGTCTGTATGTTTAATCAGTGGCATGAAATTAACTGAAAAAACTTGGCTGAAAAAATTTGGGTTCAGTTAACATTAAATATTTTGCTGTAATTGTACAGTAAAAAGGAAGCTGAACAAGCCAGGCCTCATATCTTGTATGAACAGAGTGTCTTTTACTAATATGTCAGTGTACAGTGTTTCTTCTTAGGGTATTTGTATTGTTAACATTTCGAAAATGTTTGTGCTAACTAACACACGATTGTACATTTGTTTCTCTGTAAGGACACAGCTGACAATGACTTGTACAGGCAAACTCCAGTGGGATTGCTTTTCATCGGTGAAGAGAACCTTAAGCTGAACCCATCCAAAGTGGGAATCATCTTGGAAGGGAATGTGGTGATGGATGATCTGGCCAACCTTCCTCAGGCCTTCTGTGTCCTTTTTGGACTGATATATGCCCTGCACCTGGACTATCCCAGATACATGAAAAACACTTTTTGCTTTGTTCAGCAGGTGATGTTTAACCTGGGTAAAAGTGAGCTGCCACCCAAAATTCAGACTCTGAAAAACCAACTTGCAGTGTAAAGAGGTGTTGTTACACTATTTCTCCAGATAGGAGAAAGATTGTTTGTTCTTTTAGAAAAGGGACTTGTTTGCACTGTTATGCCCTTTTTGTATATCATGTTATTGGATTGGCACTGATATATCTAGTTTCATTCAGATTAACAAACCAAAACTGAGGAAAATCAGTTTGCAGTGTTAAGTGGTGTTCTGAATCATTGCACCTGATACCAGGTGCCTAGTTTTATGTCGTGCTTTTAGAAAAACAATCTGTTGTGTATGTTCACAATAAAGCATTTTACCCCTAACCGGGGTGTTTTCAACAAATGTTTCATCTGATTTCTTGACCTGAATAAGTATTTATAATGCACCAGATTAAAAACTGAAATAATAATTTAATGATAATAACTGAACTGAATAAGTAAGCTACAACTAGGTATTTGGTACATTATACTTAAGATATTAAGTGTATTAATTGTGCAAAGAAGTTAACTTGGCAAAACATGTCGAGTTAAATCGATTTTGAATTGAGTGTAATGTACTTAACATTTTCAGTTAAATGAACTTAGGTTTTCATTACAAATTACTTATTTTTTTAAGGCAACCGGTTTCCTCAAATTTTTTAAGTAAATTCAACTTATCCGGGTTTACAGTGTACTTGCGTGGGTGCTGTGGATGAATCAGGATCATGTACCCAGCCGGTTTCTGCTTCTGAAGAGGATGACGAGAGAGAGCATTGGGGGCCTTGTTATGGGCCCCCAGCTTGTGGATAATAACGGCCAAGCATTCCTTCTCTGGGGTAGGATATGGTTTTTTGCTTTTGCATATGACACCACTACTTATTTCCCAGTTGCATCTTTCTGCATTAAAGCTGCCAAAAGTCCAACGTCGCAGGCATCCATGTGGACAAAGAACAGCAGTATGAAGTGTGGCAGCCAAAGCACTGGTGCTGTTTTAATACAGTTTTTCAGGAGTTGCACTACCGGATGGCAGTTTTCATCCCAGACAAAAGATACGTTCTGGCGAGTGAGGGCAAACAATCCGGGCATAACCAGACACAACCTGCGGTAGTAACCTGTTAGCCCCAGAAACTGTCTGACCTGCTTGACCCCGCATAGGGTTGGATATTCAAGTACTGCATACACCTTTTCTGGGTGGGGAAGTATGCCCTCTGGTGTAACCTGGTAACCCAAGAAAGAGAGTGCCCTGACAAAACTGATATTTGTTCAGCTTGACTGTGAGCCCCGCCTGTCTCAACATTAAGGTTTCCAGGTCTCATTATGGTGAGATGCCACCATAATGTCATCAGGATATATACAGATCTGGCCATCCAAATTGCGCGCGGGAAGGAAAGTGATCTCGCGTGACACCGGTGTATTTCCCGGGAACACAGAAAATGCATTGACACAGGAAAGACATGATCAGTAGGGGGCAGTCATGTAACGCACTGAACTGAAGCGGCAGCGAACATCACCGCGAGCTACTGTACAGTAAAAGGCTCGTTTGAGATGAGCCAAATCTGCGCGGAATCGATGGGAAACGACTGGCTGAGGACACAGTTTATTGCTCATTGGTTCATATTACTATCAAAATCTAAAATACATGTTTGTGTTAAAGTAAAAAATGGATGATAAATACGCCTTTCGTATGGAATTAAATGGCAAGCAATTTGAGTGTCTTGTGTATTGTATTTATTTCCATATAAAAGCAACAGAACTGAAACTATACCATGTTTATCAGCAACACAGCACGTGAGCGTGAATAACGCGATATCCGCATTTGATCTCGTAGGTATCTGTTCCGCTTCCAGAGCTCTGTTCCACTTTTTTAACTTGACATAGCAACCTGTTCATTATCAAAATCGAGTATAGTTAAAGGATCATATAAAACGTTGCACTGCTCAATTTAAATAGTCCATACAGTCTGTGCTTTAGGCCTGTAAGTGATTAGGCTGTGATTAGGCCTGTAAGTAGTATTTTTAACCAGCAGTAATTTAAAATAATACACTTGGCTATGCTAAATATATATATTTACATCTTCATATTTATGCTGGGTTCATTCTCGAAAGAGCGGTGACTGACAGTGATATCGAAGCAATTGACGGGACAAAAATATTTTCCCCCTTAGTTCAATTTTGTATGTATTGGCAAAGTGATTATATTTAGTCTAATTTAGTTTAGTTTTTTTAGTTAATTTAGAAAAACGTTTGGAGCATTTTTTGATCGTTAAATGTAACTTGTACGCTGGGGTGTATTATTTCCTGTTAGAAAACATA